AAGGGAGTCCTTCTACATCCTCCATAGATACATTCACCAGCTGTGATTTCACATTCTGTCTTTAAACACTGCTCAAACAGGAGATAATTATAGCTCTACTAATACATTTAATACTTCCTGTAACACAGTGTTAAGGTTTTAACCACGGATCTTCACAAAACCGTAAGAAAGGAATTTGAAACCAGGACCACGCTGATTGAGGTCTAGGAAAGAAACATCCAATTATCTTTAAGGAGAGAAAGCAAGAAGGAAATAATATGTTCTTCTGTAGTATCACGCTTCTGAGTTTGATGAGAAAGAAGTCGCAAGGCTGGAGAGGGGGAGGACAGAATTCTGCCTCCTCCTTTTACCCTTAAAGCAAGGCAGAGGCAGCAGTATGTTATCTAAGACGGAGCATCTCTTCTTTCGATTAAATTATTGGAGATTTTTAGTTGTTTTTATTTTTTATGAAGCAGCCAGAGCTGTGCTTCGGCTGGAAACAGTAGGTCTGTATGCGAAATAAACTGGCTGCAAGGTCACCCTAAACCTGGCTAAAGCAGGCAGCATCGTTTCTCATCTTGAAATCGGAATAAGAGGGCAGCTGGCAATCGGCCCAGGCTGAGAAACTGCAGGAATCCTTAAGCAGAGAGACTCGCCGTCGAAATTCAAGCGAACAAATCAATGGACGCCCAACCTCGTCCTGAAAAACGCGATGGATAAAGACATTTAATCATTTCGTGCTGACCAGATAAGAACCGTCTGACAGCCTGCCAGACCTTTTCTAGATGATTAGTCACAACAAACAAAACCAAAACAAAAAGAAAGCCCTACCACACACACACGCTCTCTCAGATACTGGATGTCCTAGTTTCCTAACTGAGCTTTCCAACCTAAGAAAATAAAGACTGGCTCTCAGGCACATGAAGAAATTTAAAGCCTCGGTTTTTCAGACTTAAAAAAAAATGACTTTCTTGTAGGAAATCCTGACTAACTGTAGCTCTCTCGAGTTGCTAGAACGGCTCCATTGCAGCTGAGGCTGCCACGGATCACGCTGCAGACGACTTGCTATCGTCTCGAGGACAGGAAGAGTTAAACTCCAAAAAATCCTCTAAATAGAGGAGGTGAGGGTTTTAAGAAATGCCAAGTTAATATGAGTTATTGTTAAGAACGAAGTGGCATCTGTCTAGGGCAAAATTAAACTATGCCAGCCTAAATCAGAAGCCGGTGACATGAAGTAGTCATTTATTGCGATCCTTTAAAACTTCAGTGTGATGTACTTAAGCCACAGGTCTCCAACCAAGGATGGGTGCCCGTGCCAGACACGTCCATCGTATCAGAACTCCTTCCCTACGCAAGAGATGTGTTTAGAATCTACAATATTCTCACCGCACTACGGTACTGAGAGAGTCTTGATCGGCAGCAAGTCCAAAGGAAGGAAGGAAAAGCCGTAGTTTGTCGTGATTCCCAAGCGCGCTTAGGGCAGAACATTCTCACATTTTCTCCAGGGGACAACAAAATAAATAAAAAAAATCAATCAAGAGGTCGTTGCTACGGTGCCGCCAGAGAAAGAGCTCTCTTTGTCTGTGAGACAGAAGAGTTTGCTGCACAGCTTTCTGTCTGAACTCAAAAACATGAGGACACTCTAACGGCATCACCCCCTCCAGGAATAATGCCGTGCTCGGAAGGAATGTCAGAAAGGAGATTTTAATAGTAGAGATTTCCTGCACCACAGATCTTTGGAAAAAACCTCTAAGTACAACTTGCTTTTCAATCAAGAGACGGTCATTTTGGTGCTTTTTCATTCCCTTTATGGTTTTAAGAGGAGAAAACTTGTTAAGGTTAATCAGACAGCCCAAGTCTGATGCAGAGTGATCGATTTACCCACATTTCCCAACTTCAGAATCAATTTTTAATAGTCCGTGTCCATTCTTGTATCAAAACTGAAGTTTGCAGAACTTGTAACGATTCCAAATTAAATCTTTGTGCGCTAAAAATTTTGACCACTGGCGAAACCATTTCACCGGTCCACCTAGAGCAGCTGCAATAACCAAATTCTATGAGTTTGGTACTAACAAAGGGAAAAAAAAAAAAAAATAAATACCTTTTGTATCCTTCGTTTCTTGTTCCAGGAACCTGTCGTAGAGATTTCGGACGGGTGCACTCATCGATTTCAAAGGCTGATGCAAGATCTTGTACTTTCTCGCCACGGCCTGGTTTATGCCTTTAATGACGACGTTAATCTGGTCATATGTTATCCGACCTCTCATATACCTACAAATACAAATAAATCAGTAACCAAAAAGTCAGTTTCCTCTGCTTCGCGTTAATGAATAAGCGTAGTGGTTAATTTTGCTCATTTTCTCGATGGTTTAATAATCTTGAAGGTACAAAAGCCACCATAAAACTGAAATCAAAAAAGATGAAGCATTGGAAAGCTAAATTAAGAAGTAAAAAATAAAATAAAATCCAGTGCTTAGGCTGTAAGGAGCCTTTCAGAATGGAATAAAGACTGCTTTTATAGCGTTCCACTTAAAATACAAAAGCAGAAAAAAATCAAGCAACTTCAGAAAAAACGTAGCACAAGCCAAAACTGAAATTGTTTCTGCCCAAGAGTACAGTTTGGTTCATGTTATAAACATAAATAACCTGTGTTTGGTCTTACAGACATTCCTTTGTTGTTGTTTTTTGTTTGGTAGGTTTTGGTTTTTTAAGAAATACCAGTTTTATGTTGTTTTCTGTGTTTTATTGTGCAGCCTCCTGAGCTACACAGACCCAGCTCTGCACTACCAACGTCCTCTTCCGAACTTTCAAAGCATTTCCTAAAACTGGTACTAAAATAATAAGGTCTGTTGATACTAGCCTAGAGGTACAGGAAGCCCAGAAGATAAAACCCAAGCGATGTGGTAACGTTAGACCACCGGAATATTTGCAAGTAGGGCTCTTTGGTATTTATAGATGTAAAGGCAGGAATTCAAGGAAAAGGAAAGACGCTAGAAATCGAGACGCCATTCTACAAAAATGAAATTTAAAACTCATCTGACAAGCAGCAAACGAAATACTGGACACAAAACGACAGAAAACTCTGCCAAGGCAACCTTGCAACTCAAATTATCCTGCAAACTGGCTGTTTGCGTTCGGTTCGGATGTGTGGAATTAGAAAACTTCTATTGAGAAACAAAGTTCTAATTCATTTTAAGAAGGAATGGGGCTCTTCAGGTCAGAAAGTTTGCATAAAAGTGCAAAGATCAACCAACAGGAAAATTCTTCCCTCCTTTGAATCTGAATGGAAAAACGGAATCTTTGGAAAACATGCAAAGAATTTAAAGCACGAGTAGCCAATCAATTAGAAAGTCAATATTCCAAGGCAGAATGTGGGCAGGCCTTCTGTAATTGCCCACTAAAAATAAGATTTTAATAGCCAGCCCCTGCACGAGGCACATATAACCTCCTGAATTCCAAGCAATTCCTCTAATTTCAGACTGAAATGCCTGTAAGTTATTTTTAATTTGATCAATACTTTAATTAATCTGGCTTCAAAGCTGGAGGTGAAGCCATTTAAAAAAAAAACAAACGGTGAGATACTTGTGTCATGGCCCCTTCAATGCGGGCGCCTTCATCTGAACCTAAATTCTGTCCACGAAGCAACTGGAATTTTTGCTTCTGTGCAGAACTGTGAAGCTCATAAAAGCTCCAGCTGTTCCACAGTTTTCTCATGTTTCTACCCAGCAAACCCATAAACGCTGACATTTATTTCAGTCCGCACATACACCAATGTAAAAACACAAAGCGGAGAAGTTCCAAATTCATCCATGTAATTTCGACTTCAAATAACTTTAAAATCTGCTTCCCTACAGCAAAAGCAAAAATACTCAAACTTTGAGAAAAAAACACCTTAGCGACCCAATTTCTTTTTTAATTCGCAGAAGCCCTTATCAAAACTTTTTCTGCCATAGATGTGGAAACCAAAGCGCAGACTGTGTTCTTCAAAGAAAATATATCACCTATATACCACTGGAAAAAGAGATAAATCTCCTCATGGCCAACTCTGCTCCCTCAAAAATGCTGAGGCTAAAAGAAATGTGTGTTCCCCTCAAGTTACCACCTTCTGAGATGAATGTGTAGCTTCTAAATATATCTGAAGAGAGATTTTAGAGGCAAAATAAAGCAAACTTTCTATAAACCAGGTGCACGCGATTTTAAGAAGTAACCAAATAACTAATATTTGTCTTTGTCCCCAAAATGCCATTTAAGAGAAGTTATTCCTACACAACAGACTTCAGACAAGGGTCTCTATTTATCAGATCCTAAAGGCAGGGGGAAAACTCCTATTCTTATTCCAGAAATTTGGGATGTTTTGGTGGAACGTGTTGTTTGCTTTTAACAAATCAACTTTTCCCATCTCAGAACGGATTGATAAGAATGGAAGTTTTCAGAAAACAGTAGTTAGGTCAAATAAAAACAGCATTTATCATTATTTTTTCCTTCTAAGTGTAATCATACCTTTTGTCTTATGATGGCTCTTTTTTTCTTTTTCTAAAATGTCAGTTTTCAAAACAAGAAGAAAACCCATGTACGAGATAAGAAAATTCTGTTCATACAATTAAAGTGACTTTTGAGAAAAGATGAAGTTTAGCTGATTAGTTCTGATCTTCCCAACATATAAAAAAGAATCTAAATAGCTCTATTCATTTCATTTTCAGGTTTGTCGGTGTTGCATATAAACTAAACAGAGTTATCACCACGATGTTTCACCCTGTGGAACAGAGAAAATTTCGAAACATCTCTCTCAACCTCAGTTCTGCAAGAGCTGACCCTCCCAAACTTACATCTGCCACCCACGTTGGTACTGGACTAAGAAAAGTCAGGCTTACTTACGCAGGAATACTTTCAAATTCTTCTACGGTTAGTAAGGGCGCGTTTTTAACAAATCTCGTCTCTTTTGTGGGTTTCTTTGCAGGTTTGGGTTCTGCGACTTTCGCTTGTTCAGCACATTTCACCGTTGGCTCCGAGGTGCTGTAAAATGAATGAATATTAAGTGTATAAACAGCAGATAAGTAGGAAAGAGAATTCCATTACATTATCGAGCCTGCTTAGTCACAGCCCTAAGTTCCAACTTATTTGTTAGGCTGGACAAACAGAATTTAGGATCTTTCTGCAAAGCTAAAATAAATAAAGCGAGCCTACACCATTTTGATCACGTGCTTTAGGCAACTTCATCACGGCTCTTTGTCTCTCTGCTCCAGAGGCTGCTCGCAGGTGAATTGGAAGCAGAGTGGAGAGGAATTCAACGCGTCCCTAACGTTTCACGGACCAGACGGCCTCGCTTTTTATCACATGAGTCCCAGCACGGAGCTGCAACCTACCAGGCAGATCCGAAGTACTTCACAGCCTCTGAAACAAATTTTGGGAAGCCGGACTCCTCCATTAATCTTTTGAAGCGAAGAAATCCAACATCATCCAGCAGGCTGGGATTTTTTTTTTATATGTATGTGTTGTGGTTTTTTTAGGCAAGATTCCAAAAGCCGATGAACTCCCTGCTTTGAGTGATTATTAGAGCATTATAAATTCACCCTTGCTTCAAACCCTCAGCTTAGAGCCTCGAACCCTGAGCTATTTGCCAACCACCTCCCTCTGAGCCGCTCTCCTACTCATCGGCAGGACAGCAAAGAGGAGGCATTTGGCCAAATTCAGCTGAACACAAGGACTTTACGGAGCCGAGACGCGCAACAGAAATAACGAAAGCGGCGCCAAGCAAAGAACTGATCCTCTGCTTCGATCTAACCTCCCCAGGAGATCTTGGTTTGATGTGGGGCCCAGAAAAGTGCACAGCGGCGCCTCTGCTGACCCGAAGGCAGAGATTTGACGCGTCGCGTGATGGGATGTCCCCAAAACCCGCGTCCTAGTTCCCAGGGAAGAGGATCACAGCGTGGAGGCTGGCGAGTGCCACCTGCTGGGCTCCCAAACCATTTGCTCCAGTGCCACAGCGACAGCAGGAGCTCTGCTCCGTGCTGTGCCCTGCCACACCACACAACAGGAATCTTCTGAAATACAGGACACCAACAATTAAACTATTGCAGATGCTAACAGCTGAAAAACAAGGCGAGGCCTAAAACTAATCCTAGCTAACTCTAGCGGCAGGGAACGCCAGTAAGGACAAGGAAAAGGGTTGGAGATTGGTTCGGAATAAGGTTAAACACAAGGACTGAGAGTTAAGTTTGCATCTTAAATCACCCTCCTCACTGCAACAAACCTCTTTTCTTTTCTAGACAATTCTCCAATCTCAGGTACTTCTGCTTTGCGTCCCTGCCTTGCCTTGCCCACGCATTCCTGTAGCGAGCTGCTGCTGCCCTGGACCAAGGAAAGAAAGCCTGGATTCCAAGTCCGGCTTTGGTGCAGCAAGCACCTGCTCTCTCAGCAAACACCTGGAATACAAAAGGCTTAAGATACATCGAACTCGTTTTCATTTCCATGAGATTCCTTTGGTAAATAAGATTTGGGAGGAACAGAAATGGAGGTGGTCAAGGGAGAAGGGTTTGGGGAAGAGGACTGAAGACTTATTTAAGGTGACTCTGACCAATTACAGCCATGATCCTCCACTGCACGACACAGCGAACATCAAGGAATATCAAGAAGGAACGACGTGGAGACAAAAAAGAAAGGAGGCTTGAACAAATGGCAGTAGCAAGTCACACCTAAACAATTTCCAGGAGCTCAGGTAAATTGAAGACAAAGGGTTTTCCTAAGTTAAGAAAGTTATGGAAGAAAGGCAGAACGCTGCTGATAATTTCTGAAGCGCTTCATTCTTTCACACACACAGAGAAAAAAAAGCAACAACGCAAGATCTAAATTGAAACGGAAACTGGAAACAAACAAAACACTTCTAGACACATTTTAGGGTTGCATTCAGAAGAAAGCTTCTGCACAAATCATCTCTTTACCACCTAAGTTTTGATACAAGCAGTACCTACAAGAGATGAGAATTTTGCTAAACACCATCTAAGATCACAGTTATTTTTTCTACCCTGTAACCCTGTTCCCACATCCTTCACCTTCCACTTCGCGGTAATGTTCTGAGCCTGAGGCTTGCCTGGCACTGGGAGCAAGACCAGGTAAAGCTGAGAGATGGAGAGCACAATGTTGGAAGCACGAAATTCAAACAGACGGACGCGTTGCCTTTTGACAAGCTACAACGGTGGAAACAAGTTCTGGGATGTCCAGATGTTAAGGCTCTAGAAGCAACCCCCACCTGGCACACGCTAACATTACTGAAAAACAAAAACCAGTTCCTCAACATCAGAGAAAGAGCTGACCACGCTGAGAAACCTGGTCAGAGCGATAATGTCTTGGAAGCCTTCTGCAAAACCAGTTTTCTACCGCAAAGTCCCACCTGCCAGTGGAAGATTCCGTCGGAACTTCATATTTCACAGGTTGACCTGAGGTATTTGTTAGGGTGCTGGCACCAGTCTGGCAGCAAAGTCAAGAACAACCTTCAGAATCAATACAGGTGACAACGTTGGCTCCCAGAAGTTCACAGTTAAGACAGAGCAAAAGGAGGAGAGTTTCAAAATGCTGCCAGGAGTGGTCCGACCGCTCCGTACTCACGGACCACGTACCATCTCGGAGCTGCTTTCAGCAGGTGGGGAGGAATGTTCTCGGAGAGGTGCTGTGCTTCCTTCTGGGCTATCTCAGTGGACTTCTGGAGCTCCTGCAATTAACGTTAGGCTTCGTTAGAAATCTGTCCTTATTTACATGAAGCAAGGAAAATTAGTTTACTGTTAGGGCAAGGCTAAAATAATTTTAAACTTTCTAAAGAGGTGTTCTTTGCCCTCTCACCATCATCTCACCTCTTTACCCTCTAATTTCCCCAAAGCAACTAGTAAAGCCCAGAAAAACAGAGCTAAGAGCAAGAAAACACGAGCTTCTCCGTGTCGGAGAGTCAAAGAAATTTGAGGGGGCAAGGAGTAAACCTTTAACAATATACTCTAGCAGGTTTGGGCAGGGGAAAGGCAGCAATGACGAAGGCACGCTACAGAAACCTCATCCACACTGCCCAAAGTACACTTTTACAAGTTTCAACACATGAAAACACTGAAAACACACATTAAAACAATAAATACTCTAATTAAATCATTTTCATAGCTACTGCAAGGATGTAAAAACAGAACTGCTCCTTAGCTCACAGTACCTATGATGATAAAGACAGGCTTTCAACCTCTAAACGCTGAAAACTAAAATTCTTAATGTTCACTATTCACTGGAGAGCTTAATAAACCACGAGTAAACCAGTTCCAAGCCCCAGTTTGTCTTGTAAGCACAAGCATCCAAACATGTTGCTGAAGATCTAGAAAAGAACAACCTATTAAAGATCCCTTCGGATCTTTCCTTTTTTTTCAGTGAAGAGGGTAAAAAAAAGATTACTTTTAGCAAGTTATTCAGCTTTTCCTGATGCTGGATTTCAGACTCCAGTTTATCGAGGAGATCATGCACGAGAATCGTCTCATGTCTGATTTTAGAGAGGACGGATCTGAAGGATGGCTCTTGACCTGTCAAAGAGAGAACGTTAAAGTGCCTCCAACCCAAAACCAAGATCCCATTTCCCTCCCCTCTCCCAGCAGTGATTAGCTACTAACTCTGTGCTCCTCAACCACCGGAGCTTCCCAGGAGATGCAGCAATATACGCTGGTCAAACTGTCAATTTTCATAGACCCAACGGAGTTGAAAGGTGCTGCAGGAAGAAAACTATCTCTCTGGAAAGCACTAAGCTGTACCCGCTACCACCGCAGGGTGCAGGACAGAGGTTTTAAACAAAGCCTGGATTTCACAACTGCTTGGCTGCAGCACCCCAGTTCTATTCCATGATTTCCCTCTGTTTAGGAGGGTTCAAAAGCTACTTCCCCCTTTGGAGACAGTTCTTGCGTCCCAAATAACATTTCTACGATCCCGTGTAACCTCTACTTGTGCCTGGGAAAGGATGAGGGATGAATCTAAAACATTCAGGTAATTGAAACTAGTTTGTTACCCGCTGTGTGTTTACATCCCAGCCAGGCACTCCCGGAATACTAGAAGACTTTGTCCCCAAAATGCCATTTAAGAGAAGT